CTCATGTTTTGGACCACACAGCAACATTCTCTTTTCCTATGGGTGGGCTGATTTTCTTTACCTCTTTCTACTGTGCACAATCTTGGTAATATGTCAACCCTGTGAAGGGTTTCCTATCACCTTCACAGGGGCAACCCACCACCTCTTCCTAGGAACCACCAAGGTCTTATCTTGGTGGTAGATAAGATACCTTGAGCGACTGAACTGTACAACCTTCCCCAATCCTACAATTTAGTTCAGTTCAGTCACTCAGTCGTGTCTGACTCTTTGCGACCCCACGAACTGCAGCATGCCAAGCTTCCCTGTCTATCACCAACTCACGGAGTTTGCTCAAACTCTTGTCCATCGAATCGGAGATGCCATCCAACCAACTCATGCTTTGTCGCCCCCTTCTCCTCCTACCTTCAATCTTTCCCAGCATCAGGGTCGTCTCTAATGAATCATTTCTTCACATCAGGTGGCCAAAGTATTGGCACTTCAGCTTCAGCATCAGTCCTTCCAATGAACACCCAGGACTGATCTCCTTTAGGATGGACTGGTTGGATCTCCTTGCAGTCCAAGGGACTCTCAGGAGTCCTCTCCAACACCACAGTCCAAAAGCATCAATTCTCCAGCGTTCAGCCTTCTTTAAGGTTCAACTCTAATATCATAGATGACTACTGGAAAAACCACAGCTTTGACTATACACCTCCACTACACACCTAAGAAGAGCTTCCTGAGGACAGGGGCTTTTCCACTGACCTTTATATTCAGAGGCCTTGTACAGAAAATCAACAAGTTCTGCTTGGTTTCTATTTCTAGAAGGCAGATAGTAAGCCTACAAGGTGAAAAGTCCACTTAATGTTAAGTATGTAAGAGTCAGATGTGCCTGTGTGCTAAGTTGCTTCAGTCGTGTCCAACTCTTTGCAACCATATGGACTGTAGCCCACCAGGCTCCTCTGTCCACTGGATTCTCCATGCAATAATACTGGAGTGGGTTGCCATGCCCTCCTCCAGGGGATCTTCCCAACCCAGGGATCAAACCTGCTTCTCTTACGCCTCCTGCATTGGCAGGTAGGTTCTTTACCACTAGTGCTACCTCGCAAGCCCGAGTCAGATAGTTGTGCTCAATTTTCTCTTTTGATACCAACGGATGAAAAATGCTCTGAATAAGCTCTCTTACACAGTTCTAAGGATGGCTATGTCTGAGCTCTGAGTCATAGAACAACAGGTAAAAGGGAAGGAGAAAGGAAAACTTTCATATTTCTGTAAGACTTGAATTCTTTAACCATCAGCATTTATTCAATGAAATGTAATTCTTTTAAAAAAATTATGCAACTAATTTTTTAAATTTTAAATAGAGAAAAAGAAGTCTCTTGAAAGCTCCCAATTAATTATTATCATTACAATCCCAATCTATGTTTCAGCATCTAAACCCCCTAGACAATTCCAACCAGTCTCACTTTTCAAATTCTAGACTAATAAAATCTCTTTTTAATTACAAATATACATTTCTTCTAATAAAATCTACCTTTGGAAGCTAATATGAGAACCAAAAATATACAATTATAAATCCAGTTATACTCAAAATTTTGAGAATTATTTACATATGAGGCCATTAATTTTATCAGGCAACAGTCATTGACTAGCCATGAAGCATTCTCCTGAAACAGCACAATTCTGGTTTTCAAATACTTGAGATTATCTGCAATTATACCAAAGTGTACCATAAAACACTCCAAATCACTAATCTGTTTAACTTTCAAAGTGTTATGTGTATGTGCATAACACCACACTTGAGGTGAGAAAGTGTAGAACCTGCAAAGAAGTGACTAAGCAAACATGAAACATGTCCACTCAAAAAGGTTGTAAATCAACATCTTAAGCAATGACCTACCAATCTCTTGGGGAGAAGCAACAAGTAATTACACCAGTTTATATCAAAGACAAAAAGCTGGTAAGAGAAACTGCCAGCATTTCTGATACAGGCTGCCTGGCTCAAGTCAGGCACTCAGGCACTTAAGTGCTCCTAACCCCTATGCTCTCCTGGATCATCTCAAAACTTTGTATGGCCAAGGCATTTAACTAAACATGAGTCAATTAAACCACAGTACTATACATTAAAAGTAATGCCATTTTTCTCATCAAATGTAGTGACATTTTCTGGTGAAACTGTTTTCCTTTGGTAGCAATTAGAAGAAAGCAGGTTCATGTTGTGAAGTTTATCCTTAAAACAGAAATTTGAAAAAAGAGTTAAGAGAACCACTCTCAGCCTGATAGTTCAATAGAGCAACAAAGCACAATGCAGTTTCCCATTCTAACAGGTTCCAGGAAGCAAGAGGAAAAGAAATTATTCTTACAAAAGTATATCTAGTAGATAATCTAACATAGCTTATGGGAGAAAGAAAAACCACTGAAAATTCCAGGTGCTTAATTTCAAGCAGAATTGTTAACATGAGAAAAATAAGAAACGAGACAGAAAAAAATAGAAATGCCTTTGCAGGTTAAAATGAGATATATCACGTCTACTCCCAATTACCGCCTACAGCAGAACTCAGAAAACTAGGCGCAAGAGTCAAGTCTATCCAATGACTGGTTTTGTAAACTAAGACTTCATCCGAACACCACTCCGTCCATTTACTTATTGTCAACGACTGCTTTCAAACTATCTTGGCAGGGTTGAGTAACTTTGCCAGAGACCATACACCTAAATTATTTACCAGCTGCCTCCTTAAAGAAAAAGTTTGCTAACCCTTATTTCTCTCATAAAACTTAACACTACTTGAAATTTGTTTTTTTATTTAGTCAATTATTGTCTTGACTTCCCCACTAGAAAGCAAATTTTCTTTTGTTCTCCACTATATTTCTAGCACCTACATCAGTGCATGGCACATAAAAAGCACTCAATAAAGATGCTGAATGAATGGCTATTTATTAAGAAAAAGAAAGGAGAAGAAACATTTCCCATCTTCCCATTCTCATTCTCTCTTTGATGCACTGCAACTATTCGCCCCACAAATCCACCAAAACAGTATTCTCAGTTAACCACTGGATTTATCATGTTGATAAACACATTGATAAATCCAACAGTTGATCCTCAGTCCTCATCTTATCTGACTCATCGGCAGCATCTGACTTAGTTGGTCTATACCTTCCTGCGTGCAACTCTCAGAACACCGCATTCTCTTATTAATAGTTCACCTCCTACCCAATGGAGCCTTTCCTTAGTCTCCTTTGCTAGTCCTCTCATTTCCCAGCCTCTTCACGTTAGCATGCTTCCAGGCTAAGCCTTTGAGACTTTTCTCCTCCATTCACAAAACTCATTTCTTTGGTGAGCTCATCTAGTCTCATGACTACTCTTTGGCATTTCAAACTTAATTATCAAAAACCCAGGGATTTCCCTGGTGGTCCACCGGTTAACACTCTGAGTTTCCAATGCAGGGCATGCAGGCTCAATCCCTGGTCCGGGAACTAAGGTCCCGCATGCTGAGTGGCACGGCCAAGAAGTAAAAATAAATAAAAATAAAACCCAAAACCATTCTCATCTTTCCCCCAAAAGCTGCTCCTTTATAGTCTTCACCATCTCAGTAAAGGGAAATATAATCCTTCCAGTTGCTCAAGGCCAGAACACTTGGGAGTCAACCAGCTCTTATTCTATTACATCCCACAATCTACCATCAAAACCCTGGTAGCTCTATCTCAGAAATATATTCCAGGTGAATGAGCTCTTCTCACCATCTCCACTGCTACCATCCTGGCGGGCTGATGGTTTCCGTGCTTTCACCCTTGTTCCCTTACAGTCTACTTTCAACAGAGCAGCCATGGTGAGCATGTTTAACATATAAGTCAGCAAGTTGCTGCATGCTCAAAATAACTTGCTCTAACAGCTAGCCAGCTGCCTTTCACACTCAGGGTTAAAATTCTCACACAATTTGGTCTCCTGAAACCTGTTTGCCCCCCTTTGCTTCTCCACTCCAAAGGTCTCCAGGCCTATCCTAGGGTCTATCAAGCAAGCTTCCACTTCAGCACCTTTACCCTGGCTGAAAGGCTCTTCTGGTCTGAGTGAACCAGGACTCCTAAATCAGGCCCTTCCATCAAATACTGTGTCATCTAATTCACATAACAATTCTGTGAGGTAGGTGTCAATACCTTCCTAAAGATTAGGAAAGTAAAGTTTTTAGGCCACTTATCTAACAAGTGATGGAGTTGGGGCTCAGCCTCCATTAGTCTGCACAGAACATGAGCTCTCAGTGCAGTTGGGGGTGCCTAGGAGGAGAGGATTCAGCCAATTATATGCCTCTGAAGTCCCAGTGATTTCAGGTGCATACTGACAGCTAGAGAAGGATGTAGGAAAGCAGAGAGCCAGAACGAGAAACAGGATGAGAACCAGAGAGGAAGGTACCAAACCAAAAGAGTGGTGTCAAATGGAAGTGAGACATCCAGAAGCTCAAGAACCAAGCGCATTCCTCATAGTAAACCACACCTGCGGTAGACAGCAACTTTGCTCTTGACTTAAAAAAAAAAATGGTATCTTCTCAGGCTAACAATATTGGCCAGAAGTATGTATCCCTGCTAGATTCTACCTCTCACCTGCAGTTTAGTGTGTGAAAAGAGACTGTGGTTAAGAAAGTGATTAAGCAACACAGCTTCACACCTAGCTTCTCCACTGGCCCAATCAAAGTTTGTGCGCCCGGTGGGGTGGGAGAGGGAAGACTGCCCTTTAAATATCAGGAGGCAAAGAGAACAGAATCTTCCTCCTTGTGGGTGTGTGGGACACACACTGCACCCCCCAACACACACATCCCAGATACTCTTTAAGAGGACAGAACGGTAGCCGGGAGCGGAGAGGGTGTCGGCCTTTACTCCAACTTCTTCCAGCAATATTTAGCTTATGCCCCATTCCTCTACGCCCCAGTCACGATACAATCGCCTTGTCATTCCCATCCCCCAGCCAAGGCCTGGTCTGGCCCCAGAGAGGCCCCACACCCCGCAGTGGCCCGGGCATGAAGACCCCGCCTCACCACGGCTCCCGCCACGGCGTGGACCAGGCTTTCGTAGGACAGCACGGAAGACATAACTGCGGTTCCTGCAAACCCAGCTGCAGTTTCCCAGCAGAAGATGAAGCCAAATCCACAGGCGAAACTAGCGCCAGAGTAGCGGGCAGGAGCGTCACAAGCTCCACCCCTCAGGCCCACCTCCTCCAGAACAACCACTTCCGGGTCGCAAGGCGCCGGCGTCTCCTGGCCCGGATGCCGCCTGCGAGAGAAGGGGGAGGGAACGCACCTTGGTTCTGATTGGTCCCCGGCGCGGGCGCGGGGCGGGGCAGAGTGGTGCTGCCGCGACCACGTGGACTGTTGGGTCTGGCGGAAACTCGGCATCCGGAAAGTCGACTCTATTTCCTCGCGTTGCCGCGATCTGCCCGATGGTGCTTTACATCTACTCCAACCCTGGGGACTTCAGAAAACCTTTTTTCCCCTCCCCTCCACATCTCTTCGTAAGACTAGCTGGAGACAAGCAAGATGTTGTCTTCCTGTTTCTCTAAGACTTTACTCATATTTTCTCTAGCTAGTATTTTTAGTCACGTTTTGGTCAAGAGGACATACATGTTGATTGGGCAATGTTCTCCCCTCTGAAAAACCCTGGTGGGAAGAGAACTTGAGCTTCAGGAAATAAAATGATCAGATGGAGGTGGGAACAAACTAGTTGGCACCTAGTAAAATTTTTTAACCTATTGGTTTCCTCCTTTGTGAAATGACAGTGTTAATACTGCTAGGATCACAAAAGTTATTTTATGTAAATATACTTTAGAAAATACTGAAGAAAAACAATTCCATATTGCTAAGTGAAAACAAACTACACAAAATTAGAAAAACCACATTCTACCCCTCAACCACAACATACTGTGACACCAGGTTTCATAACTTCAACTTCAGTCACTTAGGTACCATCGTCATGGGTCTTTGCCAGTTTCAGAACCATCAAGTTTACTTTCATAATACCCTTGCTGATTGATAGTCCTTGACTGCAATGCAAAAGTAGGAAGTCAAGAGCTACCTGGAGTAACAGGTAAATTTGGCCTTGGAGTACAAAATGAAGCAGGTCAAAGGCTAACAGTTTTGCCAACAGAACGCACAGATGATAGCAAACACCCTCTTCCAACAACACAAGAGAAAAACTCTACACATGGAAATCAACAGATTGTCAATACCGATATCAGACTGATTATATTCTTTGCAGCCAAAGATGGAGCAGCTCTATGCAGTCAGCAGAAACAAAACCGGGAGATGACTGTGGCTCAGATCATGAACTCCTTATTGCCAAATTCAGACTGAAATTGAAGAAATCAGAGAAAACCACTACACCATTCAGTTTGACCTAAATAAAATCCCTTACAATTATATAGTGGAAGTGACAAATAGATTCAAGGGATTAGATCTGATAGAGTGCCTGAAGAACTATGGACAGAGGTTTGTGACAGTGTACAAGAGGCAGTGATCAAGACCATCCCCAAGAAAAAGAAATGCAAACAGGCAAAATGGTTGTCTCACAAAGCCTTACAAATAGCTAAGAAAAGAACAGAAGCTAAAAGCAGAGGAGAAAAGCAAAGATATTCCCATTTGAATGCAGAGTTCCAAAGAATAGCAAGGAGAGATAAGAAAGTCTTCCTCAGTGATCAATGCAAAGAACTAGAGGAAAACAATAAAAGGGGAAAGACTAGACATCTCTACAAGAATATTAGAGATACCAAGGGAACATTTCATGCAAAGATGGGCACAATAAAGGACAGAAATGGTATGGACCTAACAGAAGCAGAAGATATTAAGAAGAGGTGGCAAGAATACACAGAACTATACAAAAAAGATCTTCATGACCCAGATAACAATGATGGTGTGATCACTCACCTAGAGTCAGACATCCTGGAATGCAAAGTCAGGTGGGCCTTAGGAAGCATCACTACAAAGCCAGTGGAGGTGATGGAATTCCAGTTGAGCTATTTCAAATCCTAAAAGATGATGCTGTCAAAGTGCTGCACTCAATATATCAGCAAATTTGGAAAACTCAGCAGTGGCCACAGGACTGGAAAAGTTTTCATTCCAATCCTAAAGAAAGGCAATGCCAAAGAATGTTCAAACTACCACACAATTGCACTCATCTCACACACTAGCAAAGTAATGCTCAAAATTCTCCACACCAGGTTTCAACAGTACATGAACTGTGAACTTCCAGATGTTCAAGCTGGATTTAGAAAAGGCAGAGGAACCAGAGATCAAATTGCCAACATCTGCTGGATCATTGAAAAAGCAAGAGAGTTCCAGAAAAATATCTACTACTGCTTTATTGACTATACCAAAGCCTTTGACTGTGTGGATCACAGCAAACTGTGGGAAATCCTTAAAGAGATGGAAATACCAGACCACCTTTTCTGCTTCCTGAGAAATCTCTATGCAGGTCAGGAAGCAACAGTTAAACTGGACATGGGACAACAGACTGGTTCCAAATTGGGAAAGGAGTATGTCCAGGCTGTATATTGTCACCCTGCTTCTTTAACTTATATGCAGAGTACATCATGAGAAACGCTGGGCTGGAAGAAGCACAAGCTGGAATCAAGATTGCCAGGAGAAATATCAACAACCTCAGATACACAGATGACACCACCCTTATGGCAGAAAGGGAAGAACTAAAGAGTCTCTTGATGAAAGTGAAAGAGGAGAGTGAAAAAGTTGGCTTAAAGCTCAACATTCAGAAAACCAAGATCATGGCATCCGGTTCCATCACTTCATGGCAAATAGATGGGGAAACAATGGAAACAGTGAGATTTTATTGTTTTGGGCTCCAAAATCACTGCAGCTGGTGACTGCAGCCATGAAATTAAAAGACACTTGCTCCTTGGAAGAAAAGCTATGACCAACCTAGACAGCATATTAAAAAGCAGTAATTACTGCTTTTTAATAACAAAGGTCTGTGTAGTCAAAGCTATGATTTTTCCAGTAGTCATGTATGGATATGAGAGTTGGACTATAAAGAAAACTGCCTTAGAATTGGTGCTTTTGAACTGTGGTGTTGAAGAAGACTCTTGAGAGTCCCTAGGACTGCAAGGAGACCCAACCAGTCAATCCTAAAGGAAATCAGTCCTGAATATTCATTGGAAGGACTGATGTTGAAGCTGACACTCCACTTTGGCCACCTGATGCGAAGAACCGACTCAATGCAAAAGACCCGGATACTGGGAAAGATTGAAGGCGAGAGAAGGGGACAACAGAGGATGAGATGGTTGGATGGCATCACCGACGCGATGGACATGAGTTTAGTAGGGTCTGGAAGTCGGTGATGGACAGAGAGGCCTGGCATACTGCAGTCCATGGGATTGCAGAGACACGACAGAGCGACTGAACTGAACTGTCTGCTTATTACAGCAAGAGTCCCAATGTTTTACGCCTTTTATCACATTTACTCCCAGGAGAGGGCGCTAACAGTGTTTACCTGGTCCTGTTTTCACAAAATTTGAAAATATTTCATTTGCTACTGGTTAAGATCCAACTCTGGGCTCAACATCACTCATTATCAGAGAAATGCAAATCAAAACCACAATGAGATACCATTACACGCCAGTCAGGATGGCTGCTATCCAAAAGTCTACAAGCAATAAATGCTGGAGAGGGTGTGGAGAAAAGGGAACCCTCTCACACTGTTGGTGGGAATGCAAACTAGTACAGCCACTATGGAGAACAGTGTGGAGACTTCTTTTAAAACTGGAAATAGAACTGCCATATGACCCAGCAATACCACTTCTGGGCATACACACCGAGGAAACCAGATCTGAAAGAGACACGTGCACCCCAATGTTCATCGCAGCACTGTTTATAATAGCCAGGACATGGAAACAACCTAGATGCCCATCAGCAGACCAATGGATGAGGAAGCTGTGGTACATATACACCATGGAATATTACTCAGCCATTAAAAATAATTCATTTGAATCAGTTCTAATGAGATGGATGAAACTGGAGCCCATTATACAGAGTGAAGTAAGCCAGAAAGATAAAGAACATTACAGCATACTAACACATATATATGGAATTTAGAAAGATGGTAATGATAATCCTATATGCAAAACAGAAAAAGAGACACAGATGTACAGAACAGACTTTGGGACTCTGTGGGAGAAGGCGAGGGTGGGGTGTTTCGAGAGAACAGCATCGAAACATGTATATTATCTAGGGTGAAACAGATCACCAGCCCAGGTTGGATGCAGGAGACAAGTGCTCGGGCCTGGTGCACTGGGAAGACCCAGAGGAATCGGGTGGAGAGGGAGGTGGGAGGGGGGATCGGGATGGGGAATACATGTAACTCCATGGCTGATTCATGTCAATGATGACAAAACCCACTGCAATGTTGTGAAGTAATTAGCCTCCAACTAATAAAAATAAATGAAAAAAAAAAAAGCCCCAACTCTGGGGCTTCACTGGTGGTACAGACGGTAAAGAATCCTTCTGCAATGCGAGACCTGGGTTCCATGCCTGGGTTGGGAAGATCCCCTGGAGAAGGGCATGGCAACCCACTCCTGTTCTCTTGCCTGGAGAATCCCCACGGACAGAGACAGGTGGACTACAGTCTACAGGGTCGCAGTCAGACATGACTGAGCAACTAAGCACACACATTTAGTGTTGCTACAGTGACCACAGCTAAGTTACAAGCCAAGTTGGGGAGATAGTTGGATTTAGGGATGCCTATTTCTATGTATTTGGAGAAGGCAATGGCAACCCACTCCAGTACTCTTGCCTGGAAACTCCCATAGACGGAGGAGCCTGATAGGCTGCAGTCTATGGGGTCGCTAAGTGTCGGACACAACTGAGCAACTTCACTTTTTCACTTTCATGCATTGGAGAAGGAAATGGCAACCCACTCCAGTATTCTTGCCTGGAGAATCCCAAGGACGGGGGAGCCTGGTGGGCTGCCGTCTATGGGGTCGCACAGAGTCGGACACAACTGAAGCGACTTAGAAGCAACAGCAGCATTTCTATGTATTAACATGTTACCGCTCAGTTCAGTTCACTCAGCCATGTCCAGCTCTGCGCGACCCCGTGAATCGCAGCATGCCAGGCCTCCCTGTCCATCAACTCCTGGAGTTTACTCAAACTCATGTCCATTAAGTCGGTGATGCCGTTTGGCCATCTCATTCTCTGTCGTCCCCTTCTCCTCCTGCCCCCAATCCCTCCCAGCATCAGGGTCTTTTCCAATGAGTCAGCTCTTCGCATGAAGTGGCCGAAGTACTGGAGTTTCAGCTTCAGCATCAGTCCTTCCAATGAACACCCAGGACTCTCCTTTAGGATCCAGGATCTAAAGGAGACCCAGGATCTCCTTTAGGATGGACTGGTTGGATCTCCTTGCAGTCCAAGGGACTCTCAAGAGTCTTCTCCAACACCACAGTTCAAAAGCATCAATTCTTCGGCGCTCAGCTTTCTTTATAACCCAACTCTCACATCCATACATGACCACTAGAAAAACCATAGCCTTGACTAGATAGGCCTTTGTTGGCAAAGTAATGTCTTTGCTTTTTATTTTTTGATATGCTATTTAGGTTGGTCATAACTTTCCTTCTAGACCTCCTGTTTCAGGAATCTCTCCCAGGAATACTCCCACCACTCCTTAGGGTCATGACATGAAGGTAGGATTCTGCACTGGAACACAGAACCTTGTCCACTGTTAATCTTAATCGGAGGACTCAGGCCTTGTGCTGCTGCTGCTGCTAAGTCACTTCAGTCATGTCCGACTCTGTGCAACCCCACAGACAGCAGCCCACCGGGCTCTGCTGTCCCTGGGATTCTCCAGGCAAGAACACTGGAGTGGGTTGCCATTTCCTTCTCCAATGCATTAAAGTGAAAAGTGAAAGTGAAGTCGCTCAGTCATGTCCGACTATTAGCGACCCCATGGACCGCAGCCTACCAGGCTCCTCCGTCCATGGGATCTTCCAGGCAAGAGGACTGGAGTGGAGTGCCATCGCCTTCTCTGCAGGCCTTGTGGCCTCCTACTTAATTTGGAAGCTCTCTCAAGAAAACACTGCGTTATGTAGCATACAGACTTATAAACACACTTTACGAATCCTTTTAAAATGGTATTTGAACACAATTTTTCTTATTTCCCATTTGTATGGTATGATATAGAGCAGACAGCATGTCCATCTCTGTGAAATGTCTTGCAAACCAGCTATCAAAAAATAATTTCACATCTCAGTATTCCTAATTATGTATTTTTCTTAAAAGAGAGCTCCCTGAACTATACAAGCATTAAGTCCCACACTACAGAAACAGTATATTAAATCTTTAGCTTCCTTCTGTTCACACCTGTATTATCAGTACAAAATAAAAAAGGAACTTAGAACTGATCACCTTCCTGCTTGTTTCCACACTTGCATATGGTCAGGTTACACAACCTGAAAATGTCCCAGTGATATGAGTGTACTGAAGAACATCATTATACAGGATACCTAGATTTTCATAGTATTTACATACCTTTATGCTATTTACCTCTTCACTACTCTGGTTCCACCTATTTACTTACAAACCATAGTTTTAAAGTTTTTGCCAAATCAACACACCTTCTTACAGTTTCGATTTGACTTTTACAAGTTTATCAGCTATCATTAACTACGTTTGCCTACTTAACGCATGCACTTCATTTAAAGTGTGCTTTATTGGTTATAAACATTGCTACACATTTAATTTTTAAAATTACTGCACCAGTTTTTAAAACAAATTTTTTCAGACCCTCTTACTGGTTGGATGGCATCTCCGACCTGATGGACTTGAGTTTGAGCAAGCTCCAGGAGTTGGTGATGGACAGGGAAGCCTGGCGTGCTGCCGTCCATGGGGTCACAGAGTCAGATACAACTGAGCAACTGAACTATTGGGCCCATTATAAGTGGACTAATAAGCACTTCATCACAACCAATGACGTGACATTCCTTACTTAACCAATGCCTTTCAAATGAACATTTAGTTTCCCGTTTTTTAAAGTATCTCAGCATAGGCTTCCTTGATGCCCTCTCCTGTTTCTGAATATGGCAGAACTGCTTACCTCCAAATTGCTACCTGAGGATGTGTAAAGCTGTTTTAAGAGAATATATTTTTAGGGGTCCTTCTTAACAACACTGTATAATCTGAAGTATACTGTGCTTAGAAAATATCTTAGGATGAGTGACAGACACATAAAAAATATAGGACATGTGCTGAAAAAAGGGGGAGTGACAGTGGTGGGAAGAGTCAATATTCAGTTTGAAGCCATACTTTATTTTTAATGTAGTTAGAAATATCCAGTAACTATGTATTTTTAAGCAGAAAAAAATTCCTTTACTTTTCCTTTTTGTAGAATCATTGGCACAAGAAAAGGACATTTCTGGTTTAGAAATGATGTTATGATGTTGAATTCCTAATGAAATGAAGCACGTACTTTATGTTAACTTAGAAATCTAAAAGCACAGGATACATTTTCAGAAAAACAATTTTACTTTTACCCACTTATGTTAGAACACACTTAGGTAATGTGTAAATCAAATAAAAAATCCAGCAGTAGCTGGTCCTGAGGTACTCACAACACACATTGGAAATTTTGAGAATGAAGAACACACATTAACAAAAAGAACATCAGCAAGCTCAAATTCAGGTTTATACGCTGAGTATTTCTAAAGGGTTTAAAACGCATGCTCCATCAGCATTTTTTCCCACTCCACTGATGCATTTCTATTTGCTTGTATCCAGCAAAGGGCGAGAACTTGAATTCTTATGATTTCAGAAATGTGTTCCATGGAATTTACTTCACTGCTCCTACCACTGATTCCTCAAATAAGCAAAGTACAGGTCTCATCCCTTGAAATTTCTGTTAAACACTAATACTTTAAATTGAAAGATAGTAAGCAGAAACCTAGCAATTCCTGTTACAGTGCTTGGACTTAAGTCTCATTTAATATAAGAATTGGATATACAACAGAAAATCATTTTCTTTATCCTTGGAGGAGAGGGAAGGGGAGTAAAGAGAGTTGCAGTATTTAAAAGCTGAATACAACAATGAATCTTTCACAATGCTGACAACTCCACAATGAAGAATCACCATAAATCTCATTAGTTCTTTAGTGATTAGGAAGTCAAGTTTCCCTCCTTGTGTATCAATTAATTCAAACTTCTCCAAAGATTAGTACTACAAGATAAACTCAAACTGCAATAGGTATTTCCTAAGTAGGAGACCAAACATCAAAGGGAATCCGTTCTTCCAAGGTCCTTTGATATGTTACAATTTCACCAAAGAGAAAATCTAACACTTAAATATGAAATCTCTTCGCCAAGTAAGAAACTGCAGCTATTATGGGTATTACCCTACATAGTCACTGTTGTATTAAATATTAAACCCAGCATTAAATATGCCTGCACAATTATGCTATGAATGATGATAGCAGTGATGTTAGTAAAAAAGGACCATCTTTAGCCCAAGAAGAGTAGGAGGAAAAAATTGTGACAACGAGCAGAAAAAGCAGACAAAGAATTGGGCATTTTTTGATGTGAAAAGGACATTTTTAAACACAGAAATACAGAAAGGAAAACACTGCCTTATTTCCCCTATGTGGAAATATGAAACATTTATTTTAGGTATCAGACAAGAACAGAGCTAAGCAATCCAATTTTACTGCAGCATTATAAAAATCATCCCTTTAACACAGTGTAAGATTTAACTGCATGTGCACAAGGGGACATGTGATATAAAATGTAGTAAGATGGCTGCTGCCCTGCCAAGTACTTCCAGTCCCTCCCCAGGTCCTACTGCAATACTGATGGTCCCAAGAGTTACAGAAGCAAATCATTTAAGATAAAATAACAAAGCAATTAAAAAGACAAATCAAAATGCCTCAGTAACCATATATCCAATTCAAACTGTATCTATTTAAATGTTGTATTTGCCTCCCACTAACAAATCTTTATTTCAAACTTGGAACAACAAATCTTCCACACTGATATATCTTACTTGCCTAATTAATTCAAAGGAAAAAATCAAAATCATTAGTAAAGAAAAATGTAGGGGTTAATATACCTTTTTAATTTTAAATATTTTTAAGGTTTAAAAATTGCTTAACATTTTAAATTTCTAGTAGGAAAACATTATCTGAATGAATACCCTAATGGCAAACCGCTGTAAAATGTATTCAGCTGCATCTGGGGCAAAGGGGTAGGGATTATCTTCAAAGCACCCCAGCTTTCTTCATGAGAAGGTCAGAGGTACACTGGTTTGTATTATTGCAACATCCATTAGGTGATCTAAGTTGCTTTTCCTCCAGCAGGGCTTTATGTCAGAAGGGCATTATGCTTGACCTCCAAATTTGGCCGACAATTTACTGATGAGATTCATAACCTTTGGGTTGCTCTGATATTTTGACATATTTGCCGGGTTCTGGGCCACATCCTGGAAGGCCACCATAACTTCTGGATCCTGCAAAGAAAAGTATATGTGTATATATATTTTAGTACTAAAAAAATATTCTATGGGTCATCAATTTTATTATCCTAAATCCTATCTCTTAGACCTATAGTTATGATATATGGCAGAAACTGACACAACATTGAAAGCAAACATGCTCCAATCTTCCTCATGGCTAAATCAACTCAGGTTTGGACAAACCCCTGAAGTATAAATATTATTAATGCGCATTTCAAAGTGAAACTTGACTATGTCACTCAAGACAATTAAAGTTATACAATTTTGATATAAAGAAAAGGACAACTGGATTTAATTACCAACTATTGCAGAGTATTCCCTATAGACTGCTTTTTAAAAACTTGAACTACTCATTCTGAAAAAAAGAAAATGAATGTCACGACTGCGTAATAAGCTATTGGGTAAATTCAGCTCGGTGAAATATGGCTATCAGAGTAACCTTAATATGTTCCCACATAGAATTATGAAAGAAATGCCTTAATGATATAAAGTTCAGCTTTGTTCTTCCAAGTCTTACCTGCATGGCTGCAAGGACTTCTGGATCACTAAGAATTTCATTGAGCCCAGGCATTCCCGGCATTCCAGGCATTCCCCCTCCCATTCCAGGCATTCCTCCAGGAAAATTACCAGGCATTCCCCCAGGAAAGCCTCCTGTAAGAATAAATGAGAGATCGTATAGACACCAACCATATTCCCAAGTAGTCTGAGAGTATACTATTTCCTTCTGATAAAACACATGTGCATGCACAAAGAATAAGGGTGCTGCTGAACACCAAATAGTCTGAACATTCAAACTGGATGCTACAAGAAATAATTTTTAACATCAAATTTTCTCTTTAAAAATAAGGCTGTAAATAGCATGTATATTATCTATAGTGAAACGGATCACCGGCCCAGGTGGGATGCATGAGACAGGTGCTCGGGCCTGGTGCACTGGGAAGACCCAGAGCAATCGGGTGAGGGAGGAGGTGGGAGGGGGGATCGGGATGAGGATTACATGTAACTCCATGGCTGATTCATGTCAATGTATGACAAAACCCACTGCAATGTTGTGAAGTAATTAGCCTCCAACTAATAAAAATAAATGAAAAAAAATAAAATTAAAAAAATAATAAAAATAAGGCTGTAAATAATTTTTCCCTAGTAACAAAACTAGAGGGAAAGATAACAGCCCCTTGGAATTATAAAATTAAAAAGTCTAATGTTGATACTGGAGAAGGAAATGGCAACCCACTCCAGTATTCGCCTGGGAAATCTGATGGACAGAAGAGCCTGGGCTATAGTCCATGAGGTTGCAAAGAGTCAGACACGACTGAGCGACAGAACACACACCAATGTTGATATATGGCAGAAACTGATACAATATTGTAAAGCAATCATCCTCCAATTAAGTATTTTTTAAAAAAAGAATAAAATTAAAAAGTATAATAAGTCATCTTGTATTCTGTCTTTATTATTCATCTGTTTCAATTTAAAGTTAATTCATGTTTTTTTCTTCTTAAAAACGATATTCTTCTAAGCAGTTATTCCTTCAAGAACTACCCTAAATACATGTTATAAAAAGTTGTGGATTTTTGAAAGTTCCCTGGTGAGCTAGGATTTGATGTTTTCACTGCTGTGGCCTGGGTTCAATCCCTGGTCAGGGAACTGAGATCCTTTAAGCCACACAAGGTGGCCAAAATTAAAGGAGAAAAAAAAAAAAGCCTATGGATTTTTTAATCTTCACCCAAATTGCATCAAAATTTCTGAAAGTGAAAAAAAGTTCTAACAAAAACCAATCTAATTCTTCTAGTGTATTTTTACATTATAAACTCAAATTTTTCTACTCAATTTTTCACTACCATAAACCTTTACATTCACTGGAGATATTCTAAAATCACAACACTATAATGATACAGGGACATCCTAAAGAGAAATACAGGTAACATTAACATATTCTATGGATCAATGGTCATTACAAGTAAAGCTACTATAAAAAAGAAATATATACAACAAAGTGATTTCCATCTGTCTCAACAATTCAACCATGCCCATAAATAACTAACAATCACAGATAAGGAGACCTGAAAACACTTCCAGCTTCTTATGCTGCTGTGACTTTTTGAAACTAGTCTCCACAAAAATTACTGACCCAAGGCAACAACAGTGAGCCAGTCTGCTTGTCAAATCTATATAATAAAGTCCATGATACAAAAAATTATCTCAAGTGCTAGTCCACATTAGTGGTCATTTTCTAAAACAAGGAACCTGATATGAGGTATTAACTTATAAACCAAAAGTAAGCCATGAGCTAAAATTTATTTTCTTGCTTTTTCTCCAAGTCATCCCCACCCCCTTTTTTAGTTGCCGGCACATGACCTTTCACAACAGCAGCTACCTTTCCTAGCCTCTGATCACGTAAATTCTAAGTAGAGAAGTGGTGCGTAGCTGCCTCTATAACCCTTCACAAGAAAGCTAGTTACTTTGAAGCTGCTGATTCCCCATTACAATGACAAACTCAAAAAAAAAAAAAAAACCTCTTCATCTTTACATAAACTTCACACTGCCTCAATTCAGAAAAGTATCCAAAACTATACTGAGTACCTTTTTAACAGCTCTTCTACCTGTATTGCAGAGGCCTCTGCTGGTGGCTCAGACACTAAAGAAGGTAAAGAACCTGCCTGCAATGCAGGAGACCCAGGTTTGATCCCTGGGTCGGGAAGATCCCCTTGAGAAGGGAATGGCAACCCACTCCAGTACTCTTGCCTGAAGAATTCTATGAACAGAAGGAGCCTGGCAGGCTTCAGTCCATGGGGTCTCAAAGAGTTGGACACCACTGAGTGACTAACACTTTCACTGCTACTGTTCAAGGCTTGTAGGAAAATAATATACTGTATTTCCAATAAAAAAATTTTACGAAGAATGAAACTTTCCCAGTGACTAATGGTACTAAATACAATATACACACCTGAGCCTCAAAATGAGAATAATTCCCAATTATCTACAATATTAGGAGTTTTAATCTTTCTTTCAAAATACCTGGAAAAGAGCCATACTGAGATCCTGATTGTCTTCTGGCTTCTTCCTCCTTTAATATGAAAAGGAAATAAATTACATAGTAAGAAGTCTGCTATCCATGCCTACCTTATCCATACAAACCATAAAAAACTGTAAAATAAACTAGCTAGAGGAGGTACAAGAAGGACAAGTTTCAAAAGGCAATACTGGGCTAAAGATAACAACCCATCCCTCAAAAAACCAATTTGCAATTGGATTCTCAACGAGGAAGGATTACTTTTGGTGGGCTTCCCAGGTGGGAGCTAGTAGTAAAGAACCCGCCTGCCAATGCAGGAGATATAAAAGCAGGTTCAAACTCTGGGTCAGGAAGATTCCCTGGAGGAGGACATGGCTACCCACTCCAGTATTCTTGGCTGGAGAATCCCATGGACAGAGGAGCCTGGCGGGCTACAGTAGTCCACAGGGTCTCAGAGAGTCGGAAATGACTGAAGCGACTTAGCATAACTTTTGGAAATGATTTCAAGTAGTTTTTTGGGAACTAAAACTAAAAAGTAACAAGTCAATTTTAAATAGCTATGAATTCACTACTAAAACAGAAGGAATTATAAAACTTAAAATATCAGGGCATGCATTCTAAACAAAGCAAATAATACTGCCAAGTTTTAAATTAATTACCTGGCCAGGAAGAAGTCTTGATTTTAGGAAAACACAAACAAGGATATGAATTGGTGCTACAAAAACTCACTTAAGAACTTGAAGACTAAGCAATGAAGGGAAGGAGAATGTCCTTTTAAGTAGTATCACTATCCTATAGAACTGCAGCCAGCTCTTTTTATTTTAAAAGAGCCAGGAATTAGAATGATATCCAAAAAAGTCTAATCTACTATATTTCTCTTTAATGGTTTAGGTACAGAAATCTTACCCTCTGGGCTCTCTCATGTTCTTCCCGAGCCTTCTTAACCCTTTCTATTCTTTCTCTGATCTCACGCTCTTCACGTTTCCGCTCATACTTTCTCCGATGTTCAGCAATTTTTTGGGCCTAGGAAAGAGTCACAGAAAAATGTCTTCTCTGAAAATGGAATAAAGTCAACACCAATCAATGGTTTTGTTAAAGAATTATTTTCTTTGGGGAAAGATTAAACTAACACACAGTTCTGAAAAATTAGTTAGGTTAACCTAACCTAACTGAGGCACAAGCAGACAGCGGATAAATTTTGGGTTAATGAGGCCACCATTAAGGGGTGTGAAGAGGCAACCATGTTTGGGCAGCTACAGTTCACATGCAGGCAGCAGATCTTCTGAGAGCTACCATGACCAAGCAGGGAGACTTAGAACCTCAGTGACGAGGTGAGTGGGCTTCCCTGGCAGCTCAGCTGGGAAAGAATCTGCCTGCAGCATAGGAGACCCCAGCTCGATTCCTGGGTCGGGAAGGTCCCCTGGAGGAGGGACAGGCTCCCCACTCCAGGATTCTTGGGCTTCCCTGGTGGCTCAGACAGGAAAGAATCTGCCTGCAATGTGCGAGACCTGGGTTCAAATCCTGGGCTAGGAAGATTCCCTGGAGGAGGACATGGCAACCCACTCCAGTATTCTTGCCTGGAGAATTCACATGGAGGGAGGAGACTGGCGGGCTACAGTCCACAGGGTCTTAAAATTTTGAGTCGGACACGACTGAGTGACTAAGCGCAGCACAGACTTTAACAAGTCAACTGTGACCCAGAGAAAAGAGGCTGGGATTGGAAGTTAGAGGAGTGTTAAAAATTTCAAATGTGCTCGCTTCGGCAGCACATATACTAAAACTGGAACGATAGAGAGAAGATTAGCATGGCCCCTGCACAAGGATGACAAGGAAATTCATGAAGCGTTCCCTATTTTTTTCATCACAGCACTGTTTATAATTGCCAGGACATGGAAACAACCTAGATGCCCATCAGCAGATGAATGGATAAGGAAGCTATGGTACATATGCACAATGGAATATTACTCAGCCATTAAAAAGAATTCATTTGAATCAGTTCTAATGAGATGGATGAAACTGGAGCCCATTATACAGAGTGAAGTAAGCCAGAAAGATAAAGATCAATACAGTATACTAACACATATATATGGAATTTAAAAATATGGTAACGATAACCCTATATGCAAAACAGAAAAAGAGACACAGATGTACAGAACAGACTTTGGGACTCTGTGGGAGAAGGCAAGGGTGGGATGTTCAGAGAGAATAGCATTGAAACAAGTATACTATCAAGGGTGAAACAGATCACCCACCAGCCCAGGTTGGATGCATGAGATGCAAGTGCTCAGGGCTGGTGCACTGGGAAGACTCAGAGGGATGGGATGGGGAGGGAGGTGGGAGGGGGGATCGGGATGGGGAACACATGTGGATCCATGGCTGATTCATGTCAATATATGGCAAAAATTACTACAATACTGTAAAATAATTAGCCGCCAACTAATAAAAAAAAAATGAAAAAAAAATTCAAACAATTACTAGTGCAAAGATGATAAACAGATGTCAAATTGCATGAAAATTCTTGCCCAATACCTGCCATGGGACGGCAGAGACTGGGAACACATATAGCAGTTATTTCCCACAGTTTAATTATACTTAAGTTTTCCTCATCAATCAAATGAGGGGGCAAGGAAGAGAAGTATGTTAGTTTTAACTATAAAAATCAAGATGTACCAGGCACTAGTACATAGTACATGTCAAATACTTGGAATCTAGTATTTACTCATAGAATAGAAATATAAGATTCAACAGTTGAATAACTGTTACTTTAGCTTCTTCATGATTATTTAAGAACTTTGTGTTTAGAATATTTCACTCAATAACCTTGTTGATTTAGCCCTGTTACAAAAAGAAAGAAAATCAAATCATCTGACAGATTAAATTTAATAAAACTTCCACTATCTTAAAGCCTTTGAGAGTAAATTCTTCGGAGTGGAATTTCACACAAAAGGAAAGATTTGCCATATAGATGCATTAAGTTATTTTAACAATTTTAGACAGAAATACAGACAGACCAGACTCAATCTTGGATCACATTTTCTAGATTTTCTGTTTTCTCCTTTGCTATAAAGTTGATGCCCCCTTTACCATTGCTAACTTTCTGGTTATAACTTTGCAGGCCTGCAAACAGAACCTGATGCAAATAACTGCATGAGAAATTAAAGCATGAAAACTCAATGAGATTTCCTGAATTCAATACAAATTTAAGTGATTACAGATTATAACTTCCAATGGTTGTTTCCTTGCATCCACAGTAAATTTACTGCCAAGGGTTAAGCCAAGGAGTATCACCGTAATGACTTTCCCTTCCTTTACTTTAACATACCCTTGGTTGAACTTCCTTCAGCATTGCACTAGCATCTTCATCATAATCCAGCTTACAGGCAAGGGCAAGATCATGGGCAGCTTCTTCCCAATGGCCCAGAAGTCTGAAACAGATTTAAAGTAATTTTTGGAGGCCTTTATCCATATTCATTTATGTAGCACAGTGTCTTTCTTGTAAAAAAGGACTGTAACAGAACAGGTTTAAGTTAGATAATGAACTACAAATTTTCATGAACTAATTACTACATTCCACTCTATAAAAATTTAGTTTAATTTCCTCTATGGTAACTGGGAAGCTGTTTTACTAAAAAAAGCTTAAAAACTTAAAAAGATTTTTTAAATTCAGGATATATTTTAATAAATTATGTAGAGCCACAACTTTCAACCATCAAAAACAGAGTTAAGGTGTGTGGGGTGGCTCTGGGGCTAGGGATGGCAGCGGTCACTGTTACAGTGGCTCCGGAATCAGGAGGAGCAGCCAGGGAGCGCTGTAAGATGGGCCGGCTCCCAAGCCAGTGGGGAGGACACTGCTTCTTATTACAGCTGCTCAGAAGCACCACTGGAAGCTCAGATGTGGGCACTCCAGCCAACAGCACAGAGGGGTGCAGGGCAGTCACAAAGAAGCCCCTGACACCCCAAGGAGTAAGCCGACCCCTTCCAGGATCCAGGAACACCACAAAGCAATATGAAACCTGTTCATGAGAGGAGTCAGGCATGCCTTCCACCAAAAAAAAAGAGACCTCCCCGTGACCAACAAGGATATGGGGAGAACCACCAGCTGCTCAACTAACCACACACCCTCCAGTGATGCCTCTGAATGGTCCCGAGGGGTTGTGGTGGCCAGGCAGAGCCAGAGTCAGCCTGGGGGGCAATGGAGCAGAGGCCATCACTGGTCTGACAGTGGACCAGTATGGCATGCTGTATACGGTGGCTGTGCCACCTGGCACCTTCTCCCCAGCGCCTCCCATCTGTGGTGAACATGAGGCCCTTGACCCCCCAAAACAAACAAAAAACAGTAAACATGATGTGTATTTAACATGCTACTTTCTATATGAGATAGGAAACAATACATGTGTACACATTTTATTTAGAAAAGAGAGGATGAATAAGAAACTAAAGTTTGGTGAAGATAAGTAAAACCTGAATAGAGAGGATAGCAATGGAAATGAGACTTCTTCGGGTATACCTATTAACTCAATTTTGACTCTTTAAACATGCGAATATTTCACATACTCAAAAAAGAAAGGACAGAAATAAAGCAAGCCCTAACCCTGAAAACAAACAGAAATAAAAAAGAGGCTACTTGTTTATCACATTGACAACATTAACCATGCAGGAAAAATTTATGCAAGTAATTTTTTTTTGCAAGTAATTTTTAAAATAGTATTTTGACTATATCTTATGTGAGATGTATTCTAAGGATAAGAAAAAACTACCAGAAAAAAAAAACACAACAACAAACACTTTACTTAGAGGGTGTATTATTTTTTAAGGCATGATTCTAGGAAGACAAGTCAAAAAATACAAAAGGGAAAACATTTAATGCTGAATTTTAATCAAAAATATCAGTATAAACTCAAAATTTTTAAACTTTTCACCCCAAGACCATTATTTTTTTAAGTTAACTGAAATGACAGTGATGATATCCTGGAAACAATAAACATACCTAGTGGCCAAACTTCAGTTTTCCACAAAATAGTCCCACTAAAACAAACCATGATTTCTTGGAGAAATGGTTTATTCCAAGTCAAAGTACAGAATGAATTCTTGTACCAGAAGACAAAGAAATGCTCAAAGACAAATGTGGTCTTCAAGACAATCCACAGCAATGCATGACCATTCGTATACCCAGACAGCATTAATAACAATTTTCCAATCTTTTACCTGTATCTTTAACACTGTCTTCATAATCATTAGAGCTACTTTACTGAGTCACCTAATACAATAGGTCCCAAGCATATTCACCTCTATCTGCATCCGCCCTTGAAGCACAGAACTTTTCCAATCCAGTAAGATGTAAACAGCACAGGACATTTCACCCCAAACCACAAAGACTTATCCATGTATTAAACTTCGCTTTCAGGTCTGATTACTAATCTGGATGAAATTCATTTATTTTCCCCCTTATCTGATAGTTCATGTTCCCAAGCAGTAACTGAAATAGTTTCAAGTTACTGTATTCCTTTTTCCATAATATACTAGTTGTTTAATGTTAAGCTACAATAATGAAGTCTGAAAATAAGAGAAAGTTTATAAGACACTGATATAAAGTTATTCTCTTTTCTTAGAGATAACTTTGAGAAAAATTCTTGGCTACATGTGGCCAAAGATGTTAACACTGATATTCACTGAATGGCAAAGAAGTGAAAAGAATTCTTATTTTCTTACTTGTTCCGTATGACATAGAGTCTCCCAGTTTTACATACTGAGCATGTATCACATTAGGCTCTCTTTTTTTAATTAAAAAAAAAAAAAAGGTATATGAACATACAAGATTTAAATTTAAAGAGCTCTGAAAATAACTAGGTTCCATTATTTACCTGTGTGCTTTCCCTCGCCACTTGTATGGCTGAGCCGAATCAGGATTTATTTCAATAGCTCTGTCACAGTCTCGGATGGCAGCATTTGGCTTCTGTAATTTGATGAAGACACTAAAAAATAAGTTTGGTATTAAAAAGTATTCATTTCAAACAATAACATCTTTAGGATTACCATAGAAGCAATTCTATCTAAACAAATAAGCAGAAATTAGCTCTTTTATTTAGATTTCTCACCTGGCTCTCTTGGCATACAGAATAGCCAAACGAGGATTTAGCTTGATGGCATCTGTGAACAAGTCAATGGCTTTCTGTAGTTCACCTAAAGTGAAACAAGTTTATTGAGAAACAGTGGATAAAAAATATTAACGGTTTATCTCTTTTATTAGCCTTTCACATTCCCTTTAGTCCAGTAGAAGACTAGTTTCTAAATTAATACACAAAAAGTGGCTCTTCAAAGTAAATCTTTACTATACCTATACTGTTAAGTCACCCAAGACAGAGATAATTTGGGGAACACAACCCCCCTTAAAAATTTCAGAATACCACACTCTTGGTAGGACTTATTGACTTTTTAAATTAAGACAAAATCAAAGGCTAAGGCAATTTTATTCCATTAATTAATTTTCTTCTATCCATTAAAAGGATAAAATTAAACCTATAAAGGAAAAAGTACCCACACTACATTCATGAGGCTGATACAGAAATTAAAAAAAAAAAACTAAACATATCAGAGACCAATAAACTATACACAACAGAGACAGTTCACAAGCCAAAAAAAAGGGGGGGGAGTGGACTAGAACTGATGAGAGACCATACCCGTATTTTAAATTCATTTTCAGTATCCCATTCTCATAGTTGGCTTCTTTTGTTTATTAGTACCTTCAGTAAAGTCAGTTAATAAATAAACATAATACACAGGAAACTAGTGAGACAAAACAGTTTTAAAGTAAATGCCACAATTCACTATGAAAAATATTTACCCAGTTAACTAAAGCGTTAAGGACCTTAACAGACTCATAAAAACGCAGAAAAATGTCCTGTCTTATCAGTTACTCCTACAGATGTCTATTAGAAGTTAGATTTGGATGTCTAACAAGCAATTCACATCTACCATGTTCAAATGAAACTCTTAATTCCTACCCCATCTCCAAATCTATTCCCCTACCCTACATTCTCAACTAAACACTTTATATATATATATAATAGGATAACACAAGTAAATATATTAGAGACAAAGATTTTGACTTTATAAACTAAATGGCTCCTCCGTTCAGTCTAGTTTAAAGGTCAGCAACATTTTCTAGAAAGGGCCATTTAATAATTATTTCAGGCTTTGCAGACTTTAACAATCGTAACTATTCAGCTCTGCAGTTTTAGTGGGAAAGCAGCCACCAACAAAACATAAATGGGTGTGGCTCTGTTCCACCAACTCTATAAAAACATGAGGTTGCAGTTTGATCTACCCTTAAGCCCCAAATCTTGCAGTTATTCTTGACTGCACAATCTGAAACCAAAACCCCTCTGTCTCTACTTTTAAAATATATCTAGAATCTAACCACTCCTCATTCTGCTAGGTAAACAGAAATGCTCCGGGACAGGGCAATTAAGAAAAGATTAGTGTGGAAAAGGAATGGTCAGGAAGAGAAGTGGCTGGGATGAATTGCTGGGTACAAATTAAAAGTTGAAATAGGCGAAGAAGATCTTTATACAGAAGCAGTAAAGCACAAGTAAAGGAACACTGAAGGAAAAGTGAGAATGGAAGATTAATATTCAAAAAGAGAACAAGGCTGGGACAGCAAATATGGGCTCTGACTCTAGCAGCTCTAACGCTATAATGATCTTCAAAATGTATGCAAAAGTTAATTGCAGGTTACAAGCAAAGGAGTGTGTAACAATAAAAACAAGTTCTAAGTAAGAATAACCTAGGAACAATGAACAGAAAGCAATAGAGACATTTCAGGTAGACAACCTATTGAGGTAACTGCAATAATATAAACATAAAGGAACCTGACTAACAGTTAATACTGAACTCATTCTAGGGCCTTCCCTGATGGCGTGGAAACCATTTTAAAATAAAACTTTAGTCATCATCTAAGCTGATGGATGAAGTCCAAATGCACAACAGCATTATACAACAGCATCTATTCAACAATGGCACTGTGACACTACACCACAGTTATGAAAGGGTCTGCTTAGTACCCAGTTAATAAATAATTTGTTCTTATAAATTTTAAGTAATTAAACAATATACTTAATACTATCAGCACTCTCCCATTCTGATAGGATTTTCTAAAGTGGTTCTAACATGCAGAGACTAGAAGACTGTTATGTCAATGGACAGTATTTGTCAAGAGTTTTACTATGTAAAAAGTTGAGGCTCACTGATCTAATACCCTTTGGGGTGAAGTCATCCACCTTTTAAAAGTCTCTTGTCAGGGGAAAAACACCAAACTATAGTCAGGAAAGCACAGTCTTGGAGTGACAATCAGGATCTGTCCACAGTCTGAGGCAAGATAATGATACTTGAGTGCTCATTTCAGCCTCTCTGTCAATGGGAAAGAGCTGAGTGGAGAACAGGACACTTTCTTCTCCAGCACAATATACTCAAAAAATTTAAATTCCCTTTCACTTTCCCATTACTGACAGTTACTGTAGCAGAAAATGAGAGAAGAGAATATTCAGACTACTACAGAAATATAGCAAAGAGAAAAAAAATAACACTCACCATCATTTAGGGCATCAATAGCAGCCACTTTTTTATCATTTGCCTGATCCATCATCTCCTCAGTTATCTAGGGGGAAATTGAAGATCAACTCAGAATTAGTAGAAAGGCAAAGAGAAACAGGCAACAATTTGGATTTTCTTAGGGGTGCAGTAATCACAACTCCCATTTTCATTCATCCGTCTCTGGTCTTCAGGGAATAAAGAGAATAATTATGATAAATAATTAGTAAGAAACCGTACAGGATATGTTTTATTTATTTTTCTTTTTTCAGGATACGTTTTAATCTTTCATACTAAACAATAAATTTCACTCCCTACTCTGGCCTAGACATGATTTTTGCTTCCCTCCATCCCGATCAGAGCAGGTTTTTCCCACCCTAGTTTTTTCAAATCTTTTCTAGTTATTCACAAGTATAGGCATAGCTTTTTTAAAATTGTACTCTGCAAAAAAATACCGCACCTTTTACAAACTGAGGGTTTTTGGCAACCCTAGGAGTCTACAGGAGATATTTTTCCAACAGCACTTGCTCACTTTGTGTCTTTGTGTCACATTTTGGCAGTTCTTCTCTTATTTCAAATTTTTCAGTATTGTATTTGCTATGGTGATCTGTGATGTTACTACTATGACTTGCTGAAGCCTCAGATGGCCAATTTTTTTAAGCAATAAAGTACTTTTAAATTAAGGTGTGCATTTTTTTTTTAAGGTGTGCACATTTTTAAAGACATAATGCTATGCCACACCTAACAGACTATAGTGTCAACATAACTTCTTATTTGCACAAAAAAATTTGACTCACTTTATCACAGGGGTCTGAAACCTAACTCACAATATTTTGGAGGCATGCCTGTACTAAAACCCAGTCTCCTCACAAGTGAAAAAGTTAATTCCTTAAGAGGCTTGAATCTTCACAGCAAAAATGTCTCATTCTTTTGGTCCAATAACCATCCATGAGCACCTATACTAGACAGAACAGACACTGTAGAAGATGTTGACACTATAAAGATTATTAATGACAAAAACATAGCAAATGTCCTATAAGAAGCAATTTCTTTAACAAACAAAAATCCACTCTGTCACCATCACTATAAAATATGCTGGCTCAATCATTAAGAAAATGATTTGACAGATTTAAAAACTGGAAGGAAAATACCAAGCTGTCTTTATACCTAGAAAACCTAATAGAACTGACAAGTTATTAGATTTGCTATGACAATTCAATGAAGTTCTTAGATACAAAAGCTACATAAAAAATACTCCCCCCAAAATAAAAAAATAAACCCAGAGTTCTTCCACATCTGTAAAAGTCAATTATAAAATACAATAGAAGAGGATACTATTCTAAGAGCACACAAGACTTTCAAGGGAGGGGAAGGGGCGAGAGAGACAATTCTGTTAAAGGACACAGATAAAACACTATGCTTATGAAAAATCTATTGACTACATCAATCTAGTCCTAAGTTACTCAGTAAATTCAAAGCAACTTCAACAAAAATTCATCCAAGTTTTGGACAAACTAAAAAATCCTTTTAAAAAGAACAAAGAAAAACACACTTGCCAGATAGTAAGACATCCTGCAGAGCAAGGATAATTTGCAAAAAGAGGACTTCAGTTTATAGCAATATGGTACACACGATACTTAGAAGAAGTCTAAAACACACCATTCAAAAGCCATCTATGACCTAAGAATGTAGAAATCCTCAAAGAATAAGATTAAATGAAGACCTGAAATTCAGCCAGATGCCAGGCACTCCATCTGCTTTTAACACTGTGGAAGGTGTCAAACCTGGTGACCTTACAATTCTGTTTTTGAAGATACTGCAGGACACATGAAACAAAGTCTAGATTCAGGTGACACAAATGTATCCTGCCTACTCAGCTTCCAATACCAATCGAGAACCCCAAACACCTATTCCAAAAATAAACCTGTGCAAAGAGGGAGGGCTGTGTAGTGAGAGGAAAAAGAAATCTCCTGGAGAAGGAAATGGCAACCCACTCCAGTATCCTTGCCTGGAAAAATCCATGGACAGAGGAGTCTGGCGGGCTGAAGTCCATGGGATTACATGACTGAGCATGTGTGCACGAGGGTGGAGGGAGATGGGTTGGTAGCAATAAACTGGTAGAACTAAAAAAAAAAAAAAGAAAGAAAAAAAAAAAAGAAATCTCCACTGAAAAGTCATAACCACAGTCACATTACTTGTGTAGTTAAACATGCAAGGAAAAAACCATGAAAATTTAAAGTGGCCCTTGAGTTAGTAGCACCAAATCAGAGTGTTGATGAAAGCAAACATATCCCTCTCTGGAGAAACAGATCTTCTATTTAAGCCTCAAAAACTTTCCACAAAACACACACGCAGACACACACAGTCTCTCTCTCTCTCTCGAACTACAATAAACAAAGTACCTCAATGAGCAAGAGTCAGGAAAAATAATAGGAGAATAAGACCAGGAAGACAAACCGATAAAAGAATTTAATGTGTTTTAAGACTATTAAGGCAAGATCTGAAAATGAGTAAGGAGCAAGACACTTATAAATAACCAAGTCATCTTTAAAAAAAAAAAAAAAAATCAAAGCGAAAATATCAAAATGAAAAACAAGCATTCAAATTCCAACTTCGATGCAACAGCTGATTAGATAAAGAAAGCATACATAATCCATCAGTGTTCAAGAGATGGAACTTAATGATGAAAAGGTCTAATGTGTATCTAAGCATGGCTCCTGAATGAGAGCAGAGAGAATGGGAAGGAAGCCATTTTTGAAAGAGATACTAGCCGAAAATACTCCAGAGCTTAAAAAAGGTTAACCACCCTAGGATTTAAGATGCCTAGTAAACCCCAAGTAGGATAAATACAAAGTATTATAAATCTAGACACACTGAGATGAACAACACCATTTTACACAGTGAGCATGGCAATGATGAATTACGACAATATTAAGTAGTGATGAGGGCCTGGACCAATCTTTTAAGCTATGATTTGTATGTTACACTGTTTCTCAAGCTCCATTTCATTATCAACCCCCCAAAAAAGCTTATTACACATTTTCCCCTTACTCCATACATGTTAATGAGTTATGATCTTTGGAATACCACTAACCATTCTAACACCTAAAGGTTTCTTTCAAGACTCGCCTCCCAAGAATCAATTTTCACCACCTTAAGAGTAATATAGTGTGTTGTGACAAAATCATTTTAGAAAACAACTGGTACTAGATATCCCATTAACAGGCAATCCCACTTGTAGAAATGTTAGGTGAACTCTATAGTTTCAAGAGCAGTTCAACCAGATGCGAAACTGAAATAGGTTAACAGAAAACAAGCATTTTGTTAGAGTATGATTAAAAATAAAGGGAGTTTTCCCAAATATTTTAAGTAATAAATGCTTTCCTTTATGCCTTAAGTCAGAATAAGAGTTAACACCCCTTTTCCTAGGAGAAACACATCACAAGAAAACTGCAACAGGTAAGCTTTCACATTCCTGACAGCAAATAGAAAATAAACCATTGGCCTTACCTCTACATTTTCATCTCCCATTTCTTGAGGTGCATCAGTGTCTGGTTCAATCACACCTTCATTGTCAATTTCTGTCAAAGTTAAGAAAATGACAATAAGACCTGTGCTATCCAATATAGTAGCCACTGGCCACAGGAGGCTATTAAAAACTAATTAACCTTGGCTTGTGTAACTGATGAACTAAACATTTTACTCTAGGTTAACTTAAATATTTTACTTTGTTAGTTTTATTTAAACCAATATACTAAAATATTTCCTTGTAAAACACAATCCTATTGTTTTGGTAAGATTACATTTCATTTTAATAGGCACATAATGTAAGGTATGTTATCACATTGTAGTAGGTACCCTGCCAAGAGCAGTCACTATTCCTAGAATGTATTACACACAGACACACCACTGATTTAGTCAATGTCAACAAACCGATTCAATGCAAATACTTTGTTCTACACACCAATACACTATGCTTTTTGTTTTTTCCTTTAATTTTACGCAGATAGCACAAGTTACTGTGAAACTCTGTTGTAAATCATGGTAAAATATTTAACTTTACCATTTTCTGTTTTTGAAAACAGCACGGATAAATTTTAAACTAAAGGTATACTACTGACGGGGCTTCCCAGGTGGCACTTTTGGTAAAGAGCCCGCCTGCCAATGCAGGAGACAAAGAGATTTGGGTTCAATCTCTGGGTCAGAAAGACCCCCTAGAGAAGGGCATGGCAACCCATTCCAGTATTCTTGCCTGGAGAATCCCATGGACAGAGGAGCCTGGAGGGCTACGGTCACAAAGAGTCAGACACAACTGAAGTGACTTAGCACAGCACATACTACTGATATAGTATTAGGAACCATATTTAGCAAAGTGAATTTGATAAAAGCAGTTTCCTCTAAATGGTCAAAAAAGAATGAAATTAAAATTAGCTACCTGAAATCAGAATTCACATTCAACAAAAAAAATTTTAATTAATTTTTAACAGGAACTGAGCCTTTGTGTGTGCACTCAGTTGTGTCTGACTCTCTGCAACCCCATGGACTATAGCCCACCAAGCTCCTCTGTCCATGTAATTCTCCAGTCAAGAATACTGGAGTGGGTTGCCATTTCCTCCTCCAGGGGATCTTCTCAACCCAGGGACTCAACTCTCATCTTCACTGTAGGTGGATTCTTTACCTGCTGAACCACTAACTTTGTTTAATTATAAACCAGCTTAATTCATGCACAAAATGCTTAGTTTTTAAAAAATTATTATAGTCATGGTAATTTTCATAAAACTGTAAGACTAAAAAATATTTTACAGTAAGTAAAAGATCTGATTAAGCCCACAAACAAGCAGCCCTTTCCAACACACCAAAGATCAAGAACCAATTTGAAATTTAAAATATTTTAAGTATTTTTTTCTTTAGCTTTTAGATAGGTTCTACGAATTAAGAGACGATCCAAGTAATAACTAGGGTATATATTTATAGTCTCAAAAGACCTCCAAATTTATGAAGAAATTTGTCAGTTTGCAGTCTGAAAAAATAAAACCAAATAAAACCCCAGGCCCATGACACATCAATTCTTCTAAACTGAACCAATATTACTAACATAGATGCAGATACTAAAGGAAAACAATTTTTTGGTACTTGATTCAGTTATTTGAAAACTTTTACACATATCTAGAAAAACCTGGGTATGTGACCCAACTTTTTCTACAAATTTTCTTTTTACAAAAAAAAATTTTAACAAATTTCATGAAGTCTAAATACTGATCAAGTATTTCCAACAAAAATGTAACATCTGCATTGAGATATGCTATAAATACTTAAATACTCTGAATTAGAAGACTAGTATGAAAAATGGAAAAACAGCTCATTAATAATTTTTCCAATCTGATCACACGTTGAAATGCTAACATTTTACATATTAGTCTAAATCCATTATTTGAACTAATTTCAACTGTTTTTAATTTTTAAAATGTGGCTACTAGAAAATTTTAAGTTTCATATGTAGTTCATGTTATACTACTATTAGCACTGATTAGTCAATCTAGTAAAAAAATCAACACGGGATCATGTTATAGTGAACATGTTATATTATCAAATACATACTAACTACCACCTCCTCACCTAGATCACTTTCCTCACTTGATGGTTCGTCTGTCTTTATGTTTTCCTCCGCCTTCTTACTATCTGTTTTTTCTTCCTAGCAAAGGGAAGGCAAACAATGCTATCAGCATTTAATAACACATCCAATATATATTCTATTAATTTATACAGATTTATGTATATACTATTCACATACATTTTATTTCAGTTGTTAATGTTCTTTCCTGTTGTGTTTTGGTAAACTACTTTTAGTTTTCTATTTTTATTGCTCTTTTAAGTTAAGTCTAGGTCCACTCCCTTATCCAAACCATTTAGACAATGAGTTTTAGAATTTTAAAAAATGTTAACATTTTTAGGAAGCTAATAAAGTGGATATACCACATATTATGCCTTAACAGGCACTACAGTCCACAACTCCCCATAATCAAACACATTACTACTTTTGCAAAACAAAAGTTTTAGCAGAGATACATATTAAACACAATTTTGTCTTCATACATATTTATCATAGGGCAAAATAGCCTATCTAGGGCTCAGAATCTACCAAACTCTGACAAATGACTCATCTAAAAAAAGAATTAACTATTTCTGGAGCTTTTACTTAACTTCTCTCATTTCACCGTTCAAAGATAACATTAAATAATAAAACGGCAAATTTTCTTATCAATTTAAGACAGCTAACGAGAAAATTCTGAGGGGGGGAAAAACCTTCTAGACATAGAGGCAAAGAATAAGAGAAAAATGAATTCTGAAGAGAGCACTCTTCCCCAACCTTCATCTCTAAACTTTAGCTACCAGCAACCTCCCCCCAGCAACCTCCCTACTGTACACGCCTTTTTGGCAAATATGCTAAAGCAACACCCTGAATCACACTCAGAAATACCCATCAGGTATTAGGCAGAAAAAATAGAGTGCAACAAATTTGGGCTGTTTTTTCATTTACTTTCCAAATATTAATAAAGTACCTACAAAAATACTATACTACATGCTAAAAAAATGATGATAATTATGAATGGGAATTCCCCAGAGGCCCAAAGGTTAGGATTCACTGCAGTGGGTCCGGGTTTGATCCTCAGTGGGGAAATAAGATCCAACAAGACATGGCGCATTGCCCCCCCCACCCCAAAAGATGAAGACTACAAATGCTTACAATTACAGAGCTTACCACTTACAGTTCATGCATATAACATGCATCCAGCATTTATTCTCTTATTTTACAACACAGTGAATATTCAACCCCACATTCTAAGTGTCAAATCAGATTACAGAGATTTGACCGCAAAATAGAAGTTTTACCAAGATCTTATTTCCAAATTATTTCTTGGAGAAATCAGGGGTGGTAATCTGAGGGCAGCAGGTGAAAAACATTCCTAAGAAACCTTATAGTACTTTATCACTAAACATACAAATGAAATTCGTAACTTACCTTGGTATTTTCTTCCGATTTAGTTTTATGAGCAGCAGGTGGTATTTTACCCCCCATGCTTGAGGAAGATGAGAAAAAAATATATATTTAGAAAACTAAAATTAAATATGCACCTTTCCCATTCTATTTAATGTGATAGTTATCAAAAAGAATCTTCAATTACTCAGTATCTTTGATACTGATAATGAAAAATGGCTCCCGTGTGCCAATCACTAAATCATTACACAATCCAAAGCACTTAAGCATGCAATTCAGCAGAATGAAGGGATTTAATGATAAGGGAACAAGCATACAAAAAGAACAAAATTCTTTAAAAATAGCTTTTCCAAAGAACACAGTAATCAAATATGAGTTCTTTTCAGTTAAATTTTAATGAAGACACTAGAATTCTTAAACTAAGTAAGTTTCAAAATGCAGCACTTTGTATTTAGGGTGACATCCAAACACAGTCCTAATAGTTTAATTCATGTTAAAACCTTGGGAGAGTATGGCAAAAACCACTACAATATTGTAAAGTAATTAGCCTTCAATTAAAAAAAAATAAAAAACCTTGGGAGGTAACAGTCCTGCCAAGAAATATATTAAACAAAATCAAACCCTAAGGAAAGATCAGACAAACCCAAATTGAGGTAAGTTCTATAAAACAACTGGCTCATGATATTAAAAATTGCCAAGGTCATGAAAATCAGTGAGACTGAAGTACTATTTCAGAACAAAGAGACATGACAACAAAGGACAACCTGTAATTCTGCAGACTAGATAATAGTAGTGCATCAGTTTCCTGAGCTGATGACTGCACTGCAAGGACAGTCCTTGTTTGTAGAACACACACACTGACGGCGCTGGGGACACAGTGTTGGAAATAGTTCAGGAAAAAAGTTCTTCATACTACACTTGCATTCTGTTTGCAAGCTAGAAACAGTTTCCAAAAAATTTAAAACGTGGGAGGAAAACCCAAGAGGGTTTATTCATAAACTAGATTCAGAATTTCTCACACTCCAAATTCTAGTTAACTACTTGAAGGTAACACCAATTTATAGGTACAGAAGTCTCATTTTATGCTTCCAAGATTGAAAACAAGCTAGTTCCCTGTCAAAATTGCAAATTGGACTTTGCCAATACAGGCGTTTACAAAGGCCTAGTGAGAGACCTTCTCATGTGGGATCACAGAAGACTTCAGTCATAATTCTCTTACTTTGGGAACATTCAGTCTACTCTGTGCTATAGTTACTGACACACATGTACAAAAAACTGGGTGCTATATTCTAAATTCACTGACAGTATAAATGCATTAGGTTCACTTTATTTAAAATATTTGCTGAAACAAAAGTTTACTATATAGCACAGAGAACTATTGGAAAAGGAAATGGCAACCCACTCCAGTATTCTTGCCTGGAGAATCCCATGGACAGGAGCCTGAAGGGTACAGTCCATGAGGTCATGAAGAGTCAGACACGACTGAGCAACTAACACATAATAGAAAATAATTTTAAAATATATGTATACGTATAACTGAATCACCTTGCTATGCACCTGAAACGTTGTAAGGCAACTGTACTTCAATAAAATAAATGTGTGTTTTTTTAAAAAGACAAGGAGTAGCTGCTGAAGAACACCGGTCCGCGTGCTGGCGACCAGAATAAAAGACACTCCCTTTTATCTTAAATTACCGTAAAGTGGAAGGGTAAAAAGCACCTACAAGACAGAATGGAGACCGAGTTGTCAAACAGGAGAAAACAGCATCAGAAAACACTTCTTCCTCTAGAGAAACAAAAATATTCCAAAACATTTCTGAGAAAGAATGCAGCCTCCCCAATTCCCACTAGCTACTGAGCCAAAATTTTTTTCTTCATATTTCTCTTTGTCCAGTATATTAAACTTATAAATTCTTAAAACTAAATGAAGTTTAAAGGTATAAATAATGGTAGAAATTATGGCAAATAAGCAAACAGACTGTCTAAGCCCGGTATCCATGACTAATTTAGTACGCAGAAGAGGAAAACCTGAAATGGAAACCTAAAGTAGCATTAGATTTAGGAATATTCTTAGAACTTGAAGTCTCTACATTCAGCCCAATCTACTATAACCTTGGACTGCTTTAAGAAGGCGGATATGAAGGCAGAAAAGAGAGGAATTAAAACACTTCAGAGACAGCAACCATTTAGGTTTAAATTTAGATGGAAACAAATAACAAAAGCTTGTAGGTTAGTATCTCAACTTAAACGTTCAGAATCAGGTGTATACACATGCCAAGACCCTTCATTCCATACTTAAGCCAACAATTCAGTCTACAAAAAGAAAAATATAAAAAGAACCAGAAAGAAAAACTGGAATTACTTATGGGAAACTTTAAAATAAGACACAAGGCTATTAAAAAAAAAAATACCTGATAGTATTTTTCAAACCTTAAATCAGAATTATCTTACATAGCAACCAGCTCTCCGCAGTAAGTTACAACAATGTTCTCAGATATTTTAACTCTTCTTCAGGGTCCTCACTACCTCTCTAGAGGTGGAACAGTGTATCCACTGGGTATAAGGTTCACTCTTGATGCCAGATATTTCTTTCTGCAGTACAGGTCCCCTTTTCCTGCAATTTTAAGAACTTGGACTAATTGTAGGCTCTTTCCTCTAAAGAATGGATAATAAGAGGAAAGCACACAAATATCTTAAGTGACACTTTTGGATCAAATTACGCAGTAAACAACTAAAATCTAGATCTCAATTTCTAGTCCTGAAAATCTAACTGCATCTCTTACGGTTTTTTTTCTGTCAAAAAGGAGAATTGGCAGAATACTATTCTTAACTGTTAACAATTGTTACTAAGCTACTACAGTAACTAACTGTAAGTGTGCTCATAATTTTACATAAATATCAGGAGCAGAAATCTTGTAATAGCGAGAAAACTGGTATGGGTAATCAAGAACTGAGAAACTTAAAGAGAAAAAAAATGACTAACCCACCACAAACAACGTTGACGGATTTGAACTTAAATCTCTTTTGTTAGAACAAGCTCATTAGAAGAACTAGTCATTCAAATGTTGGCTAATCGTTGGTGCATCTTTCCCTATAAAAATATTACTGAAGTAAACAGATCAATGTTTAGGGTAGTACCTTTTAAGGGTCTCGTTTCTTTGTACTGTCGCTACTTATCACCGTGAGAAGCAATTTTGTATGTCATCTCCTTCAAATTCCTCACCAGAGGTATCGATTTTAAAAAATCATCTCGGGGAAGGGTTCCCTTTCTTCCTTAACTTCCCCTCCAAAACGCAGAATACTAACCTCTAAGTATCAAACGAGTTTCTGTATTTATTCATTTGTATTACTCAATAGATTGTTCTCATACTGTTTCATAGCTAGCATCTGGCACAATGCCTGTTCAATTTATTTCACGCTCGTAGCGACGTACTCTGGAGTTACAGATAACAAGAAGAGACCGTGTTAACAAGCGGGTTCTTAAAAAATCATTTTTCTTACAGTGTTTGAAGTGATGGAACTGCCACTACCAAAGGACAAGAAGTGATTCCTAAAATAATTCTACGCACTTAGAACCGCAGTAATCGTAAAGGTAATCACATACAGCTATCGCTTGTACCGTAACTTATTAACCACACCAATTTTTAAGGGCATAGTGCGTATAAGAGTTGCTTTGTGTTACTGCGACCTCAACAGGACACCAGAGACGGCAAGAAAAACAACTCCACGCTAAAGAGCAGTCTGGCCGCCCTCACCCCTCCCCCTCACGTCTACAGTGTCCAGGTCCCCGCAACACTCTGCATCTCCGTATTTCGACGAAGACACACCCCTGGCCACCTCAGGGTGCAGGGAACCCAGCTCTGCCATTTTTTTCCGTGCCTCTGAACCATCTAAGCGTCCCGATCCCCCATTAGCCCCTCGAGATGGCCTCCAAGGAGCGAGCCCCCGCCGCCGAGCTCCACGCTCCTCCGCCCCGCGGCAGCTCGGGGCCCAGCACCCTCTTCGGCCGTCCTCTTCCCTCCCCTCAACGGTCCTCAGGCCCGGGTCTCACCTCTCCACCCACTCCCTCAGGAAGCGCATTTCCTCGGTGTGCAGAACGCTCGGGTCCTGCTTACACATTTTCACGAAGGCTCGAAGCTCGCTCACTTTGCGGGGGTCCATAGTCTAGCGGCGGCGGGAGGCGGCGGGCGCGGCGAAGGCGGCGGCCCAATTCCAGGCCCGGGCGCTACTTCAGCGTGACCGCGTAAAGGGGGCGGCTGCCGCGAGGCAGAACAGACTAGAACCTCCCCGGCCGCTGGCTCCGCCCACCCAACGGTCTCGTGACCCCGGGTCCTTCGCCTGTTCATTCCTACTCCCTCTGCCGCTGCCCTGCGCACTGCTCAGAACCTTCTAGAAGCCTGGCTGTTCGTGCTGTTGCCTGCCTCTCCATACACTCATTCTTATATTAACTCTAGAACCGGTCCTCTAGAGGGATCATCCTCCTATCCGGTGCTTTAAAGGAGGCGGAAGCTGTTAGCCTCTGCGGGGAGTCATTTAGAATAGAATAGGCTCTTGAGTGTGACCATTAAATAGAACATGGTGCCATGACGCCACCAAGATGGCCCTCCGGCCCGAGCGGCCCTCACAGCTCCGGGCGTGACGTAAACATACTGCGCCGCTGTGGGAGGAAAGCCCGGCGAGCGGCGCCGGCCGGAAGGGGAGGGGCGCCAGGCCAGGTTTCCTGGCGACACAGCCCTGCTGGCGACCGCTTCTCCGGCAGTTTTCCTGGTTTCCTTCCTGACGCCTGAGCGTGGCAGTTATGCCTTGGCTACTCTCGGCGACTAGAGTTGTTCCCGCGGTAGCAAGCGCCCGCAGCTTCTCAGGTTAGACTTAACCTCCCACAGTGTCCCCTCCGGAGCTTGCTCTGCGAAGCCTGAGGCGCGCCAGCGGGATCTAAGTTGGTCTCAGGCGACCCCTGCTTCGGCGGATCGTTCCACCGGGACTTCCACGCCCAAACCCTCTGTGCACGCCTCGAATTTCTTCTCTTCCTCCTACTGCCCCTGAGAAAGGGTGGGCCCGGTGTTCTCTCTACCGTCGAGGTAGTCTGGGAGTTGAAATGACTGCAGAGAGAAAAGTGTCTGCTGTCTTCCCCGAGGGGTTAAGTCATGCGGACTCAAGAAACTTGTGTCAGTTATCACACTTGTTCTGGTGACAAGTGTCTCTCATCAGGTAGCTCTTGTTAGGATAACCTACTAAGTTTAGGATAACTTAAAATCGTATTTTCGTGTTTTCAAAGAGTTGACGTGAGAGCTGGCTCTCACGAAATGGACATGAAACGTTACGTTTAATAATACAAATCCTTTGAGTGGTTTCTCTTGGAAGAGGTATTGATTGGAAATACTCCTGAGGCTTTTTATGTCTGAAAGTTTTGTTTGTAAAGGCAAAGTAGAGTATTATGGGAATATGGGAGGGGATATTTTTGGGGTGTACTGTGTCCGTGAGGAATTAATGCAGTGAACATGAAACTTGATCAATGAAAGCTGAATCGTCTGCCTTTCAGGCAGATCTGCCGTTGGGTCATATTTTAGTTTTTTAGGGCGATAGGTGAACAGTGTGTGCACCAGAGCGTGTGGTCTGTGACACCAAAGCTGTGTCTTGGCATTTATTTATTGTATTGCTACACTTGAATATATTGACAGTGGGATGTAATTATATCAAGACTTACTCCTAACTCTGAAATACAAAAATAAAAAGTAATGTCCAGTGCACAGAACTTGCTCTTTGCTTCTAATAGCTAGGCTGCAGAAATCTGTCCCTCTCCATCGAAAGTAGGTGAATACGTATGCTGTTAGTCAGTCTTGAACATAAAGGCCATAGCTTATGATTTAGAGCTGGAACCGTTGATTTATTTGTGACTTTTCTTTTTCTTTTTTTGTATTTGTTGAGACTTTGTGTGAAACCTGATTAATCAAGGTTTAGGACAAGGTACTGGATTACACCAGGGCTTCCATGGTGACTCAGCTGGTGAAGAATCCACCTGCAATGCAGGAGACCTGCGTTCAATCCCTGGGTTGGGAAGATCCCCTGGAAAAGGGAACGGCTACCCACTCCAGTATTCTGGCCTGGAGAACTCCATGGACTGTATAGTGCATGGGGTCGCAAAGAGTTGAACACTACTGAGTGACTGTAGTTTAAGTTTTTAGTTTACTGGATTATACACACCAAGATCTTTGAAAAATGTGTTTATCATGCTTCATTTTGCCTCAGAATATGTAAGTTTAACTACTCTTCTGTTAACATCATAATATACATATATAGGAGAATTCTCTGGTAGCTCAGTTGGTGAAGAATCTGCCTGCAGTTCAGGAGACCTGGGTCCAATCCCCAGGTTGGGAAGATCCTGTAGAGAAGGAAATGGCAACCCACTCCAGTATTCTTGCCTGGACAATCCGATGGCCAGAGGAGCCTGGCAGGCAGCAGTCCATGGGGTCTCAGTTGACTTATCGACTACACCATCGCCATACTTATATAGGCTTTCTGAATGAATGATCTTGTTGGATCTTCACAAGTCCAATAAGTTAGAGCAAATATTTTACTGATAGGGAACTGAAACCATCACAGTATCACAAGTAGCAAATCAGGAATGTGTTGTGATTGCCATATAGTCCTTTTCCTGTTATACTTGTGCTCAGTCTTACTCTCGCTTAGTAGAGTCCTTTTGGAACTTTTTATTGAGCCAGAATAACTTCAATTAGTAACTTTTGAGTTAGGAGTCATTCTGGACGAATCTCCACTTGCCTAGAGTTACAGTCTAGTCAGATGATAGAGAAGCAACAGACAAATGAGAATATAGCAAAGGATGGTGATTAGAGTCTTGACTCAAGTGACATGGGAGCTCAAGAAAGGCAGTATTGTTAAGTCGCCAAGTGGTATCTGACTTTCTGCAACCGGATCTTAGTCCCTTGGTGGAAGTGTGAAGTCTTAACCACTGGACCACCAGGCAAGTCCTACTTGCAGCTGCCAGAGTAGGCCTGTTTAAGTGCGTCAGATTATGTCACTCTTCTGCTCAGAGCCTCCAGTGGCTTCCTGTCCCAAATGTTATACCATAGCTTACACTGTGATCTGAAAGTCATTGCATACTGTGGATTTCTCTTACCTTTCATACTTCATCTACTTGCTCTCAGAAAGGGCCACGTGGATCTCCTCCATGTTCCTCACGCACCTTATACAACATGCTTTAGGGACATTTGACTTGCTAGTCCTGCTACCTGGAATCCTCTTTGACCAAATATCCACATGGCTGACTCCTTCATTTCACTGAGATCTTTTCTCACATGTAACCATCATTTCACCTTGGCTACCTTGGCTGAAATTTCAACACTCTTGCTCCAAAACTTCTATGTCCTGCCCCTGATTTTTTTTTTTATTTTCACCTATGACTAACATATTTTACTTAGTATTTGTTTATTGTCTGTCTCCAGTCTAAGCTCTGTGACAGCTAAGAGTTTTTTGTTCATTCATTATTATATCCCAGGTACTTAGGATACTACCTCACAAATAGTGGGTACTCAAAAAATACTGTTGAATGAGTGAAAGAATAAAAATAATGGGATGAAAGCAGTGTATTTTGAAAATGAAATAATTACAGGAAGCTAAGAAGTAATTGTGTTGAAATTAAATTCATTTAAAGGAAGCAAATATATAAAAACAGTTGCTCAATATCTGATACATCTGTAACTCTGAAACTCATCTGTTTTTCTTCCATCATAAGCCTCGGTTGCGATGGCTAAAGGTGGTATTTTAGAGTAATGTATTTTTATATCCTGTGTACATACTCAAAAAATTAGAAAGTTTCCTATCTGGTATAAGTCACTGATGGCCAACCATGCATAATACAGCCACATTGCTCGGAAGAATCCAGGATAAGTCTGGCTTTAAAAGAAAAAAAAAAAGTAAAATACGTGCATGCATGCTGTCACTTTAGTCGTGTCTGACTTTGTGACCCCACAGACTGTGGCCCGCCAGGCCCCTCTGTCAATAGGATTCTCCAGGCAAGAATCCTGGAGTGGGTTGCCATGCCCTTTTCCAGGCGATCTTCCCCACCCAGGGATCAAACCTGCATCTCTTAGGTCTCCTGCGTTGGCAGCTGAGTTCTTTACCACTAGCACCACCTGGGAAGCCCGGTTGCCGGTTTAAGGTCTTTCTAATAAGTCTCATGTCTAGGCCACTTGGAGAGAGTTTGTAAAATACATGTAACATCAAATTTACCATGTTAATTATTTTTAAATAAACAGTTGTGAAAAGATATCCAGAACTTTTTCATCTTGCAAATCTAAATCTGTATCCACTAACAGTGCTTTCTCTTCTCCCTGCAGCCCCTGGTAACCGCATTTCCACTTTCTGTTGCTATGAATTTGACTTTAGATACCTCATATAAGTAGAATCATAATGTCTCAAAGTTCACCCATGTTGTCACATGTGACAAGGTTTCCTTACTTTCTAAGGCTGATCCTATTCAGCCTCTGTGTATGCCTATATGTATAAATATTTTATTTATCTATCCATCTGTCAATTGACATTTGGATTGGCTCCACCTCTTGGCTGTTGTGAATAAGTGTGCTTTGAACATAGGCATCCAGATATAAGTGTAGCTATTTTTAACTTAAAATGCTTTTATACTTTGATTTTTAATTTATAATGTCTTAAATTGTGTATGAAGTGCTCTGTGATCATTGAAAAAAGTCATCTCATTAATAACCATGTAGACTGAACCTGTGTGTTTTAATACATTTTTAGCTGCTAATGCTTTATGTATGTCAGAAGTCTGTAAAATAGCTTTAATTAGATCAAAGGAATGATTATAGATTATAGACTTGACTAAAGAAAAACTTCATAATCTATAAGCATTTATATGATGTATATAATATATAAGCATTGCAGGCAGATTCTTTACCAGTTGAGTCATAAGGGAAACCAAAGAATACTGGAGTGGGTAGCCTATCCCTTCTGCAGTGGATCTTCCTGACCCAGGAATCGAACCAGGGTCTCCTGCATTGCAGGCAGATTCTTTACCAACTCGGTTATGAAGGAAGCCCATATAAGCATTTATCTCAAAAACAAAAAGTAAAATAATCTTTGCTGTTTTCTAAACTCTTAATATCACTGTTACCACAGTTCATCTT